TCATCAATCAATCTTTTTATATTTAAATTTCCTTTGGGTTTAATTTTGATCTTAAAATCCGATCACGTATTTTACTGTATGTAATCGTCTTTAGATACATTAGGAACAGTGTTTATATCATTTTCCTTTGGTTTTATGAGAAGACTTTTTCTATTTGCAGATATAGTTTCTTGCATTAGTTGGTTCGGTTTCTTATTGTTTATATCTCTTTTTAGCTCTACTGGTCAGAGACCAGAAAAGCTTATGCGATAATTAGTTGTCCGTCTGTCTGTCTGTAAACAATTTTTCAAAATGCTACTCCTCCTACAGTTTTGGTCCGAATTCAATATAACTTTGCACACAAGTAGACTACACTAAGATACATGATTCTGTGTATCTGTTTTTGATTTCGATGAACGGTGTTGCCATGGTTACTAAAAATAGAAATTTCCCCCGACTTACCCCTCCCCTTTTATGTTGTGACATTAGCGCACGTCACAATATAAAAGGGAGGTTAAATGTCAGAGGAATCGCGGATTAATCAGCGAACTCTTAGCTCACATATAGTGGAATAAATAGGTCTTCAGGCACTTCCATAGAATCATGGCCGAATTAGAAAGCGCATCTGGGGCCCGTTTTACAAAAGGTCGTAAGTCATAGATTTGGTCGTACGACCGACCTTACGACATACGACCGTTTTACAAAGATTTGAGACTTGCGAGTTACGACGAAATTCGGTCGTAAGTCTACGACCACCAAGAGGTTGTCGCAAGTCCTAAGTTTCGTCTCAAAGTTGTTCTGTAAGTCGTTGTTACTATGGTAAATAAAAATATTCATCATGGCTGCCTTTCTTGTTCTTGATGTTATTAACAAAATGCACAAAAAGAGAGGTTTGAGGGTGTTTAGAGACAGAAACAACCCCATGGACTATTTGTCCGATGCCGAGTTAATGGAGCGGTACAGATTGCCGAGGCAATACCTCTATGAAATCACAGATTTAGTGCGGGGTGATGTAGAAAGACCAACAAGAAGAAGTCATGCTGTTCCCGCAGAAATACAAGTACGTACCTTATTTACTGTCTGCATTTTATTGTCCATTCATTCATTACACTACACAGAACGTGCGTCACTTCCTGGTTATTTCGTCATAATTTTGTGTGAATGCCACAAAGGCACGGATCAAACAATTTACAAGTGGCAGGTGCGTGTCAAATTACACTCCGAGACTTTTCTTAATATTTACCACTGGTTACCAGTTTTAATACATTTAAAAAAAAAGGTACACACGGTCACGATTTGATACATTCTGTTGTAAATAATATCCAATAAAATTATAATAAGAACCAACCTGAAAATATTTTTTTTCTTTTATACTTACAGACTTATCTATAAGTATATTAATGTCCTCAATGTCGCCTAAAATTATCTTTTCACTCCATCATCGCAAAATTTTAAACAACTGTAAATATCTATCAAAACAAGAGGCTCATTTTCTACATAGCTCACCTGAGTATGCCTTGTTAGTACATGAATTAAGAAAAGTATCAATTTTTAAACAAGCAAACTGAGGAAAATATTGTATGATTGCTGATCTTCATATAAAAATTTTAAAGAAAAGATCTTATAATTTTATGTCTCTATAATTATTTTAAATACATGTATACTTCACGGAGTGGACAACAGATTTAGCCTAAAACTGCCCTTCACATACATGCGTTTAGGTAAAAGTGTGAGAATTTCATAATAGTGGATTCCATCTTTGCATTGTGGGGTTTGGTCTGCTTCTTTGTGGGGAGTACAGCAAACCAAAAACCCCTCTGACTGTTGAGATGTTTAAAATATCCTAAAAGAAGAAATAATCAAAAATCTTGGAGAAATCATAGTCTTCACAATTCAAAATTAAAATCAAATGAATTTACTATAGGCAGTGTTAAACCAAGATATACAGAGAGAAAGAGAGAGAGAGTTTCCTTACAAGAATTACCCCTGGATGTTGAGCCATTTCTTAGCTCCAAAATGTGCATTAAAATCAGTGTACTGAAATACTATACAAAACTTTCTTTGTTTTCATAAACTTTCATAGGTATTAGTTTTTGTAGATCAAGTAAAATATGTTTCAGAGATGTTTGTAATTTTGAATACTCGTTTAGAAAATACATGAACTCTTTCTTCTTAATGTTTGTTATTCCACTGAACAATCTATTTTGTGCATCACCCAACAATTTACATGTGATCCAAGATTATCATAATACATGTAACTATATATATAACTTTTATCCCATGTTTACCCCTTTATCCCGTGGATATGACTCATTGAATATTTTTTTCATATCCCACAGTTAAGTGCAGTTGTGACGTCACAATGGTATTTGCATTAGCGTGATGAAGTAAAATAAAGTGGAGTTCCTATATAAAACAGTGTAAAACATTGTTTGTGAAGTATTAAACATGGGATAAAAAGAATCTCCCATGATTTGTAGTTGGATATGACTTTTATCTAACTCGTTGTGTGTTTTTATCCCCTCACCAAGGCTCGGGGATAAAAAAACACACAACTCGTTGGATAAAAATCATATCCAACTACAAATCATGGGAGATCCTATATATACACCACATTAATTTTACATTTATACTTTTTACATAGTGACTTCTGCGTTGAATAAAATAAGGTCTTGTCACAGGTAATGTACATGCGAAGTATGATAGCCCTATCTCTTCTCATTCAAAAGTTATGACCAAGGTTAAAGTTTTTATGACTGACAGACTGCTGAATGAGATTTAATGTCCCATCACTTTCGCTAAAATGGGGAAAAAATTAATAATATAGAATTTGTGTTAAGTAATGTCAGTAATGAATGACAAGTTATGGAGGTCAACAATTTGCTATTTTATTGACAGGTTCTAGCTACAATAAGATGCCTCACAAAGGGAATATTCTATTCAGAGTGTGGGGACCTGCATGGAATTTCTAAATCGAGTGTATGTGTTTCCATGGACAGAGTTTTGACGTCCCTCTGCCACCGCATGCAGAATATCTCATTTCCTTCATCTGATGAAGATGTACGAAGAACAAAGACAAATTTTTTTTCAAAGGCCAGATTCCCAAACGTGCTAGGCACAGTAGATGGCACTTAGATCAAAATTCAGGCTCCTACCGAAAATGAACCAAGCTACATCTGTAGGAAAGGATTCCATGCTCTAAATGTCCAGGCTGTTTCTGATGCCTCCCTTAGGTATGATTTCAATAAACTAAATCAAAAGAACAATGACCCATATTATTTTCCATAGTACAAGCTGAAAAACATTTGAAAAAGATTCAAAAAGAAAAAAATGAATTTGAAATTTTATATTATGATTAAACCAATGGGTATTTTCTCCTTCTTACTGGTCCATCTTCTTTAAGATTCACAGATTTGGTTTGCAAGTGGCCTGGTGCTGTTCATGACAGCTTTGTGTTTGAAAATTCAAACTTAAACTACATCTTGGGTCAAGGGTGCAACGGATGGCTTCTAGGTGATTCAGGTATGAATTGGGTAAAATTAAATGCAATATAAATATACTGAGCATTCTACACATGAACTTATCAGTAAATCACTACATACATGTAACTGCATTCTAGGCTATCCCCTGAAGTCTTATTTGATGACACCAATAAATATCCCTAGTAATCAAAAGGAAGTGAACTACAACAGCACTCACTGCAGAACTCGTGTTGTGGTGGAGAGGGCATTTGGTGTGCTCAAGTCAAGATTTCGGTGAGTTGAAGTGAAACGACAATGTTCCTGAAATTCATTTCTCTGATGTCATTAAACATCTTCTTTAATACTGTAAAGAAATAATGCTTATATTAAATCCTTTATTTCTTTCAGATGCTTACATCCAACTGGAGGTGTATTACCTTTTTCCACTCAAAAGGCTATAAAGACTGTTGTAGCATGCTTTAAGCTGCACAACAAGTGCATCAAGGACAGACTGCCAATGCCAGAGGTGGACTTTGATATTCGGGCCCAAGGTGAGGAGGAGATCAACAATATCCAAGCAAACGGTGCTGCTCAACAGATCAGAAAGAGGCTGGTTCAATGCTTTTAACATAGTAAGTTTAATGAACTTGCAAGTCAAGGTTTATAAAGGTTTCAAATATAATTGTAATCATGCCATTTTATTTTGTCTGTTAAACATATCAGGCCCATTTTACAAAAAAACTACCAACTAGAGGCCCATGGGCCACATCGCTCACCTGAGTAACTTTGGCCATGCTCTTTTTTACCAGATTTCTCCCTCTTGTAATACCTTTTGTGGCCCCGCCCTTCCCCCGGGGGTCATGATTTGAACAATTTAAAATCTACACTACCCCGGGATGCTTCCACATAAGTTTCAGCTTTTTTGGTCCAGTGGTTCTTGAGAAGAAGATTTTTTAATGACCCCACCCTATTTTTGTCTTTTGTTGATTATCTCCCCTTGTAAGGGGACTTCGCCCTTTATTTTAACAATTTAAACACCCCTTTGCCCAAGGATACTTTGTACCAAGTTTGGTTAAAATTGGACCAGTGGTTCTTGAGAAGAAGTTGAAAATGTGAAAAGTTTATAGACGGACAGATGGACGGACAGACGGACGACGGACAACGGGTGATCAGAAAAGCTCACTTGAGCTTTCAGCTCAGGTGAGCTAAAAACTTTAGTTCATTGTAAAAATTTGCAAAATTAATGATTCTGTTTAAAATTGCTGACGTAAAATTATCTTACTACATTCCCTTTAAAAAGATTAAAACCATATTCAATACAATGTAAATTAGGAAGTTATACACAGAAATAAATTTTGGTCTTAGTCGCAAGTTCTTTTGTAAAACAGGCCCATGATAACTATTGAAAGAAATGTAAAAATAATTATAGGATATGATAATAAATAAACAAATTTTCACAAAGGATTTATGCCCATTTCATTTAATTAAATGTCTTAAACAACAAGACCTTTGATAGTAGGTGACACTGAACAAGATACTGGTTCCAGCTCAACTAAGGGATCAAGAGTTTGAAAAGAATATGAGCAGCAACAGTTTTTTTCTTTTTAATTCAAAACAAATCTCCTTCAGCACATCTAACTTCTTCTTTTCTATCTCAAGTAGCTCTTTCTTCAGCTCCAGTTTCTCTTTCTGAATCTTAAGCAAATTATCTGCCTTGGGGTTATCTAAGAAATAAAATTACAAATGTTCCCATTTAATTTGTATAATAGTTTAATTCTTTAATCTATATTACATTATACATCTGGAGCATTTCAATTTCTGTTGTATAATTCCAAACTTTTGTGAAGAAAAGTTATTCAATTTCAAACTTAAAAATGAACAGTTACATTTTAAATTCCCAAATAATTAATTGATCTACTTATGGATTGACGGAACAAGAGGCCAAAGGGCCTTGACTCGCTCTTCAGATAAATTATACAACCTTCTATTTGAACTTCTAAGTATCCTATATATTTAGATAAAGCCGTAAATTTCCAAAAGTAGATCATCATGACCTATATTTTGGTTAAAAGACTCTGAGAACACAAGATGAATCAACTGACAAAGTGTGATGATTCAAAGCCACTTATCATCTTAAATATTCAGATATAGCCATGAGATTTCAAGAGTAGGTCACAGTGACCTACTTTTTGGAAAACATACTCTGAGACCCCAAAATGCCTCTACTGACAAAGTTCGGTGATTTCAAGTCTTTTATTATTTGAACAATTTTTAATCTACAACATATCCTCATCCTTTTGTGTAAGTTTGGTGATAATCTGCCCAGCAGTTCTTGAGAAGAAGATTTTTAGCAAACCAGTACTTTGTTTTTATTTTTCTAATTATCTCCCCTTGATTAAAGGTCATATCCCTAGTTTTGGTATAACGAGAGCCCTTGGGCTAAGGATTCTCTGTGACAAATTTGATAGAAATTGGCCAAAGGGTTCTTGAGATATGGTTCAAAATCTAAAAGGTTTACACACACCACACAAAATGGCCATAGCATTAGCTTTTTCAGCCTTTGGCTCAGAAGAGCTAAAAATGTGTCACCTGATGTATATGTATGTACCTGCTGTCTCCATAGTGATCTTCCTTTTTCTTGACTTTGTGGAGCAGTCAGGAGGCATACTAGTATCTTTAAGAAATAAATGGTTTAAATTTATAATTTTTGTACTGATTGAATATTTCACATATCAATATGATAAATATTATTCTGTTTTTTTCAGGACTACACCATTTTACAAGGTCATTTTGATACCTATTCCAGGGACTAGTTTCATTTGCAGATGGACAGATATGCTCTTCTTCAATCAATAAACCATCAAAGAAATATTTTTAAACTTTTATATATATTGTTTGTTTTTCATGTTTGTTACCTATTGAATATCACAGTGCTGTTTTGATCACAGCCTGAGCAGTTGGTTAAATTACATGTGAATAGTTATGATACACACACAGAATGGAATAATATACAGTTATGGAATGGGTACTCGGGAAAAAGCAAATTTATGGTTCCCCAAGGGAGGAAACTATTTCTCGAGGCGGCGAAGCCGCCGAAGGAAATAGTTTCCTGCCGAGGTGAACCATAAATTTGCTATTTCCCGAGTACCCATTCCATAACTGTTTTATCATACCGAAACAATCATGGGAGATTTATTAAACTAGAGACTCAAACATTTTTAAAACAACAAAGAGGCATTTAAATAATCACAAATACATGACATCGCATGTCGAAAAGTTTTGACGTCATAGTTACATTGCTAACAACATTATGTCACAGACTCGAGATTCCTTGAACGCTCTGCCCACTGTTCATTTTAATTGGTTAAAATAATTAATAAATATTCATGAGGGAGTAGTCCCAGGGAGTAGCTCCGATTTTTCAGGGAGTAGTCCTCAGATGAGGGAAATTGTATCTTCTCAGGGAAATAGACAGTTTTATGGTATTAATTTTATACAGAATAATAACAATAGAGGTATAATAACAGTATCTAAAATCTTTAGTTGGCTTACCTCCAGCAAATGAGGGAGGAATAGTCTCTGGAACTAGTTCCTTGGTTTTGGAGGCATGTGCAGATATGTAGTTGGAGACATCTACAAACATTTTAGACATCATATCAAGCTTATCAACTCTTAATCATTGATGTGACAAATCCATTTATAATTTGTACAATGTAAAGGAGCTAGTTTGAAATGCTTTGGGAAAAGTTCCAGTATAAACCCAAAGCATTATCAGAATTTGAACAAATAATTTTTTATTATTAAGTTAAGGTTCATAGATACTCTGATAAGAGAGATAACTCTTAATGACATAAAGGTATATTATTCCTTTATAAATTTTCAAATTAAAATGTGTTTTAAAATGTAAAATGGGGGCCCTCAGATATAGCAAGTTAACAATTGAATATGGCAGACAAGTTCCTTTTACAAATGGTGTTCAGCTTTAAGTAATGTGTATTAATGCATTTGTTTGTTCAATTCATTTTAAAGAAAATCATGAAACCACAGTTTACCATGAGATGTGGCTCTAGGAAATTCATTATTTCCACATTCACTAGTGTCAAAACCACCTTCTATCCCAACCACCATGCTATCATCCAGGACAGAAATTATCTACAAAAAGGCTAATGAGCAGTGACAGGTTTCATGTACACCTTTGTTAATTCAAACAATACTTACATGTTATATCTAGAACAGAAAGAATATGTAAAAATTGTACACTAAATTCAAATCAAAAATATAAAGCAGTTTCTAATTTAATGTAGCAAATTCACTAAAGAGAGGAACTTTTTGATTTATTATCTGAATTTCATCTAAAGTTAAACAGTTTACTAATTTGATTGGCAAAAATTATTTTAGGAATGACTCTAATTCTTGGCCAAATTATTCAAGTATAACCTGGTTTGGGTCAGTTTACGCTTTTTAATCCGCAAAGCGGATTATAAAACAGCGTAAACTGACCCAAACCAGGTTATACTTGAATAATTTGGCCAAGAATTAGAGTCATTCCTTATAATTTAATTTTAAAATCATTAATTAACTATGGGTGTAAAATTTTGTTGCTTTTTATTAGTTCAAATTTGCGGCTCAATAATACAACCGTAGTAACGGAAGTACCGGAAGTGAGGGGAAATAAAAACTGATACATAGGCCTAGCAGCCTTGTTGTTTGTTTACATGTGGTAAGATAGAATTATTGTTTGGTACATCTATTAAATCTGGAATTTTCCATGAACCCGAGAACTGGAAATGAGAGGATTGTATGGATACAGATGATTCAGCTGGTTGTCAGGGGGGTATGTCCCCATTACAATTTATACCTTATCTTCCCATGGTTTTAAGTCTGCTGGTGGTGGACCTCCCCCAGTTTTCTTCTGGTCTCTTCTCCTCTCTGCCTCTCTTTTTCTGGTTTTGCTTTGAATGTCTATCCACTTCTTTTTAATGCTTTTCACATCTCGCTGCGTAAAGCTGCAGGCATTTACACTGAAAGAGAGTAACAAAGAGCACGCTTTAAATATGATCAATGATACCACGCTAAACACTTGCCTCTATCAGCCAGGTCCAGTACAATCAGTACATTTACCTACGTAGCTAAAATTACCTACCATAGCTTTATTTACTTACCTCGGGTAGCTTTATTTAGCTATTTCAAGGCAACTTTTCCCAATTTTGCTTTTTATTTTTAAAGACAAAAAGTCGCAAGTAACTGTCTACTAATATTTATTCTAGGTATTATTTAAAAAGCAATCTAAAGCAGGGATAGTTTTAACATTGCTGCGTTTGAACACTTTTAAGGAAGATAATGTATTTCCATTGTTTGAGTAACTGCACAACCTTGTGTGCGATGAGGCGTGGATAAGTATGATTACTTCACATTGTGTTAATGTTAACCAAAACTGGTTTTCTTTATGTCACTCAAGAAGTAACTGTTAGATCACAAATTAACTGTTGTATATAGCCCCAAAACTTTTAGAACTTTGATTGCAATTGCGCAGAAAAAGACACATCTCCAAGAGTGATTTTTCATGAATTGTTTTCAAATGAGTTCAAAGTTGAAAATTTAAATATCACTGCATCTAAGTGCAATTTTCTGCACTTTCTGGGAAAAATGCTAATTTTAAGAAATAAGTTTGAATTAGTAGCTAAATAAAGCTACTTCAGGTAGGTAAATAAAGCTATGTAGGTAATTCAAGCTACGTAGCTAAATCTAGTGATTGTACCAGACCTGTCAGGTGTCTATTTGCATGATTCGATAATTCATCCAGCGATCCAAAAAAGATCTAAATCTTCGGGGGCATCATAAATCGCTATATCATAGATGCAAAAAATTGCACGCATTTCAGACCAATTTCAGTTTTACAAGACTTCTATAAATATATCGTATTCTTATCTTCAAAAGCGCGACCCGATCCCAATTTGATGCAAACCACCATTTTGTGTGAAGGGAGATTCCCCGATTCTATTGGTCGATATATTTATCGTAATATTATAAATTCCAAAATAATGCCGACGGCTATACAGCCGAAAACCAAAAAGTATCTTTTAAAAAAATCATTATTGAAACACTTACAGAGTGAATTTTATTTACTGTCATGTTTAATATCTCGAGGAAATATTCATAGGTCAGTATGATGTTATTTAATGCAAATATGTATATCTTTTCTTAAGCCCCCCCCCCCTCCCCAAATTAAAATATTCAAGAATATTTTTTAAAAATGATATAAATAAAATATTTCAAATCATAACAAATTTCAATATGTCTATTCGTACAATTATCAAGTTCAATTTTGGTAAAGACTACCATGACATTACACTTATAACATATAACGTTAAAAAGAAGGATTTATTTTTAATATATATATATATATATATATAAATAATTACATGGGGAGGGGGGCAATTTTTTTTCTTTTAATTTCTGATAGAACAATACAAAGTTCTTTTGATCTATTTGGGCATGAGATCAACTATAGTATCTCTTTAACATCAATTCCAAATAATATAACATATACCTCTCCAACACTTCATCCCAGGCTTTAGCCTTTTTGTCTGTCGTCAGAAATGGGGAAAATTTTCCTTTTATTATATCAATGCGATCTGCCACGCAATCAACAAGGGCAGAGATCTCTTCTTGTCGCCAATTTTCTTTTCTAGCCATTTGGGAAATAAATCGTCTGCGCGTCATCGCGTCTTGGTTCGCGCGGTATCCAAGGTATTTTCATACCTTTACACGCTAGAGAGTTCCGTTATGACTTGCGAGGAAAGTTACGATTTAGGAGTTACGACATGCGATTACGACACGTTTCGTAAAACGGTCCTACGATATGTCGTACGATCGGAAAATTTAAGACTTAGGACTTACGATTTACGACTTTTTGTAAAACGAGCCCCTGGAGCTCTCTCTCTCTCTCTCTCTCTCTCTCTCTCTCTCTCTCTCTCTCTTGTTCTTCCTCCTTTATGCGACACCACATCCTTCAACGAAGATCACAAGTGACGTCACACATAACACAAAAAGATAAATATAGCGGATTTAATGATACTATCAGTATCTTGTATATAGAGAATAATACATACCCTTATTCATATCACATCCTGTATCAGCCCGAGACATCAATATCAGCCATAGGGTCTAAGTTGTTCGTCGGCTGGTACAAGATGTTATAAGGAAAAAGATATTTTTGTGTTTATTACAAACTTAGTTATAAAATTCAGCACACATCTACTTCAGCAAATACAATTAAATAAATAATCATTGACTAGCTTTAGTATACCAAATAATATTAATTTAAAATTAAGAAAAATCTGACCCCCAAAAGTAGTTGTATTTTTACAATTACTATTTTATCTTCAAAGGGTTTGATATAAGTCTTTATCATATACATGTACTTAGTAGTAAATACATCGATTCTGCACTGTGCGATACGGGTGACGTCACAATACCCCATATCAAGGACCGGTCCGAAAATCCATATCACGTATCGGACCGGCGGGCAAAAATCCATATAAAACCGGAAGTAACGTTTGTTTAAAGTTTTAAAAGTTAATTAACTTAAATATACATTTAAAATTATTCTTTACTAACGTCTGTGGACTTAATTTGTTTTCAAAGACCTAAAATTTGCTTTATTAGATTTTAAAGAAAAAGGTCATAAACATGCACGAAACATTCTTCAATGATTTTATGTGAACTCGCATATTAAGTATTTTAAATATATGATAAATAGAATAATTCTTACTGAAATCCATCATATGTCATATCAGCCCTCTGGCCCCATATCAGCCCTCGGGCCTTCGGTCCTCGGGCTGATATGACCTATGATATGGATTTTAGTATGTAATATTCTCTATGTATCAGTCCTGTAAATCCATATCAGCCCTACAGATGATCCATATCAGCCCTGCTGGATCCGTATCAGCCCTGGAAGCTTTTGTAACATCAGGCATATCACTTATGCAAAATATCTGTATATATTGCTAAGTATGTAATTGAAACGATAATCGTAACATGATGAAGTATAAATACATAAAAGATATACTAACATCATGTTCTGCGTTGGATTTTATTGAACTCCATGAAAAAAAAATTAAAATACGATTTTTTTCCCAAAGTATTTTAACGTTCATCAGCGGCACAATAATTCTCAATCCTACATAAAGTGCGAGACTGAAAGTAAATGTTTTATGGACGGACCGGTAAAATATCTTTTATCAATATTGTCTCCACACATCAGCACGTCTCCCTTGCAAAGAAATTGTCAATTCAGAGCCACTTCCTGGTCTACACAAATTTTAATATCTTTATCTAACATTTAAGTTATGACTCTGCCTATATTATTCTGTGTAATTGTTGTTTAACGTTTTTCGTCTTGTAGATTCATTTCGAATTTTTAACAACAGACCATTAAGTATTCATACTTTTCACTGTTGAAATCTTCAGAGCACAATGTTAAATGCATTATAAAATTTATATGGCTATGTTTGCATATTTCTTCGTAATTGTTGTTTAACAAATCCTATTCTAATGTGTGTAGCTTCTTGTATATTGTAATATTGTTCCTGTCTGAGTGACTCCTGATAAGACTGTAAAGCCCCGTGTAAGTCTCCAACAACTTGCTGACAGATTTCTAGTATCTGCCAGGATATGTTTCTGGAATCTAAGGAAACATATGTCCCATTATCATCAAGCAGCAGTGAATGTAGATCTGTCAGTGACTCTAAATACTGCGATCTATAACTTAGTCTATAGTGAGATAACAATAATAACATTTCTACCATAAGAAACGGTGATAAATATAAAATTGGAACTCCATTTTGTTGACTCACATTTTGTTCCAAACATACTTCCTCAATACATGGAATATCAAATAAACGTACATGGCTTACACAGGCGATTTTCATCCTGCTAGACAAACAGAGATTACCTACAGTTTCATTGTACCTCTGCCTATCAACAGTTATGTACATATTTGAGGCCTGCCACAGTCTTCGTTTAGTGAGATTTGTGACATGTATTGTTTTATCATATCGCCCCGTTCTGTAATAGTATAATGCTAGATCAAGTAAATAAGACACAGAGCCTAATCTTCCTGCTAATTTCAGCATATTACAAAACATTCTATCTAATCTGTAGATATTTTTTATGTGTGCAACATGAGCTAATGTGAAGGCTAGACAAACAAAAGATTCAGCTGTACTATACTGAAGTGTTAAGGATTGGCATGGTGAGAGGGATAAGTTGAAAGGTTTTCAATAGACTTCAAGATGAGGCAACAATTCCATAGCTGTTCAAAAGAAAAAGGGAGCCCGAATATTTCCGTCATGCCACACATATCCATTTTTGCAAAAGAAAAAAATTCTCCCTCAGTAGTTTAATCTCACATTAAAACAAAGAAAGACATTCTTTTTTTAATATTTATGTCTGTACAATTAATCATACAAAGTAGGTTAAATTTAAGCACGTAACATGCTGTATTATTGATCTCTTAAGTCATGGTACATTGTTGGAAGAGCCCATTGCTTAAGAAATCGTTCATAAAAAACGGGTTCTAATTAGTTCAGCATTAACGGAATTATTAAAGGAAGTGGTTTTCATGAAAAAATGAAAAAATTCACTGGATGTAGATATAGTATATATTGCTTTACAAGTTTCTAGCTTTTCAAAGACGTATACCTAAAATTTGTTCTCAAAATATAAGCACATATAAAGATATCCAGTCTACTTTAATTTAAAGGCGTATTATGACATCAAGTTAACTTACAACTTTATTAAGATTTTGAAATTAAAAAGAGTAATACAGTTGTTACTTTGCAGGTAAAATTAACAAGGCAATAGAGTTTCATCCTGTGCCCATTACAGATGCCAAATAAGTGCCCCTCCTGGTCTATAATTGTTTGAATTACCATGGAAACATTGTGAAACATATATTTACATGTTTACATTTCTCCGTAATTGTTGTTTAACACATCCTATTCTAAAAACTGTAGCTTCTTTTATTTTGTTGTGTGGTTCCTGTGTAAGAGACTCCTGATAAGACTGTAAAGCCCCGTGTAAGTCTCCAACAACATGCTGACAAATTCCTAGTATCTGCCAGGATATTTTACTTGCCTATTTTGAGTATTTAAAAGAAAAATAAACATAAAAATAAAGAATTTTTATAACCAGCAACATTTTAAGACATGAAAAATTACATATGATTGGTACAAAAAAATAAAAATTGAGATGGGGCGGCTAACGTTAGAAGAAAGGATTCTCTGCAACCTGCTGCATGAACAAGGAAACACGATATCGGAGATTGCCAGAAGACTTGGAACTACAAGGTAAGTGATCAGTTTTGTTTGAATTTGAATTTTTTTCTTCAACATATTGCTTAAAAGATAAAAATAAACTTAGTTAATTTCCTTTCCTTTCACAGAAAGACGATTCGGAAAACAATCGAGAGACGACAAACAACTGGATCCAATGCAGATGCTGCACGACCAGGGCGACCCCGGGTATAAACAGTCTGAGAAGACAGAATCCTTGTGAGACAATCTCTGCAGAACAGAAGAGAAACTGTTCCACAGCTAAGGACTGAGTGGTTGCAGAATGGAGTCAAGGCGTCCAACACCACAGTATGACGGAGACTGAAGGAAGCTGGTCTTTTAGCGCATGTGGCTTTAAAAAAACTTCTTCTCACAGCTGTTCATCGCAGGAATAGGTTGCAATTTGCACTGGCTCATGTGAATTTGACTTGGGTTGACTGGTCAGCAGTACTTTGGACTGATGAATCAAGATTTACCCTTTTTCAAAATGATGGCCGTGTGTTCGTCAGAAGGAGGTCTCATGAGGCATACAGAAACAACTGTATTTTACCAACAGTAAAGTTTGGTGGGGGGTGGTGTTACTGTCTAAGAAGCCATGTCCTACAGGGAAACTGGATTCTTAACTCCTCTCAGAGGTAACCTCAACAAAGATGGATATTTGGACATCCTCAGTAACTCGGCAATCCCTTCTGCACATCTTCTTGGATATGGTGATAATTATTTTTTTCCAAGATGACGGCGCTCCATGTCACAGGGCAAATGCAGTAAAGAAATGGAAAGCTGAGCAAAACATGCGTTGCCTTGAATGACCACCACAAAGCCCAGACCTCAACCCAGTAGAAAATTTGTTGAGAGGCCAAAGATGCCATAATCTCAGGGATTTGGAACAAGCCCTAGGTATTGAATGGAGTCGTATTCCAGTAAGAAGATGTCAGCAACTTATTCGAAGCATGCCCAATCGAATAAAGGCTGTCATACGCGCTAGAGGGGGATACACAAAGTACTGATATTCCTAATTTGAAATGATAAATTGATATGTTATTTATGCAATGAAATTCCTTTAAGTAAATTTATTTTTAAAAAGTGAAAAAATCTTACGTTTTTATTGATATTTAATCATATTTTATTCATATAATATTAAAATATATGAAAATTACTTAAATTTACTTCAAATATGAGCCTGGTGTAGAAAAATAAATCAATAAAAACTGTTTTTGGTTGGTGGATACTTATTTATGGAAGGTAGTGTATTAAAGGGGACAAGTGAAGAAGCAGATTCTATTATTCAAGCAGAATATTTTTTCTTAAGTATCCGCTTGAAAATCTAGCTGTTGCCATACAAGCATATCGTATATCGATATCTATTTGCTCATTCTTTCCAGA